TGGCTGTCTCAATTTTCTGCTCCTCTCTCCCACTTTAACCTGTCCCCTTCTGAAATTGCCACACATTGCTGTCTCAGGTCCAACCTAACTTTGTTACCAAACCCGCCAATAAGGGTGGTGCTGTTTTAGTTTGGTGCACTGATCTTTACCTTGCGGAGGCTCAACGCCAGCTCTTGGACACTTCTTCCTCCCGCACCCCAGACCATAACCCCACATCGGAACATCAAGCCATTGTTGCCAAGATGGTCACCGACCTCATCACCTCCGCAGATCTTCCTCTCACTGCCTCCAACCTTATAGTCCCTCAACCCAGGCAGACCATTTCTACCTCCTTGCCAAAATCCACAAATTAGATTCCTCCGGTAGGCCCATCGTATCAATCTGTTCCTGGCCCACCGAGCTCATTTCCTCCTACCTTGAGTCCATCCTCTCTCCGTTTGTCTAGACCCTGCCCACTGCGATTCCTCTGATGCCCTCCACCATATTGAAAATTTCCAGTTCCCTGGCCTTAGCTGTCTCCTGTTCACCATGGATTTTCAATCCCTCTATACCTCCATTCCCCACCAGGACACAGTCTGCAAGCTGTCAGCTCCTTCCTTGACCAGAGGTCTGAACACCATCCACCACCACTCTCCTCCGCCTGGCTGAATTTGTTCTATCACTGAACAATTTCTCCTTTAATTCCTTTCACTTCTGCCAAGTAAAAGGAGTGACTCTGGGCACCCACATGGGTTCCCGCTATGCCTGCCTCTTTATGGGGTATGTGGAAATGATCCTTGTTCCAATCCTACACTGGCCCCCTCCCACAACTCTTTCTCTCAGTACATCGACGACTGCCTTAGCGCCGCTTCAAGCTCCCTCTGGACCTTGAAAAATTTGTTCATTTTGCCTTCAATTTCCACCCCTCTACAACTTTCACATTATCTATCTGAGTCTTCCCTTCCTTTCCACGATCTCTCCATCTCCATTTTGGGGAATAACTTGTCCACTGCCATCTACTACAAAGTCACTAACTCTCAAAGCTCATCACATCCCATGTCCTGCAAGGACTTCATCCCATTCTCCCAGTTCCTTCACCTACATTGTATCTGTTCGGATGATACCACCTTCCAAAACAGTGCTGCTGACATGGTTTGCATCTTCCATTACTGTGGTTTCCCGCTCACTGTGGTTGACAGGGCCCTCGACTGCATCTGACCTGTCACCCATGCTTCCACCCTTGTCCCTTCCCATCACTCACAACAGCATGATCAGGTTCCCCTTGTCCTTGCTTTTCATTTCACAAGCCTTCGCATTCGAAGCATCATTCTCCATCATTTCAGACAACTGCAGCAGAACACCACCCCCAAACACATCTTCCCCTCACTCCCCTCTGTCTGCATTTTTTAAAAAATTCATTCACAAGGGAGTGGCATTGCTGGCCAGGCAGCATTTATTGCCCATCCCTAATTACCCAGAGGTCAGTTAAGAGTCAACCACATTGCTGTGGGTCTGACGTCACATGTAGGCCATACCAGGTAAGGATGGCAGTTTCCTTCCCTAAATGACATTAGTGGACCAGCTAATTTTTTTTCCTAACAATTGGCAATGGATTTATGGTCATTGTCAGACTCTTAATTCCAGATATTTATTGAATTTAATTTCCACCATCTGCTGTGGCAGAATTTGAACCCTGCTCCCCAGAACATTATCTGGGTTTCTGGATTAACAGTCCAGTGATAATACCATTAGGCCATCGCATCCCCATAGCAGTGATATTTCCCTCCGGGACACCCTAGTCCATTCCGTAACCACCAACACCACTCCCCTCCCCATGGCACCTTCCCATGTAACCACAGAAGGTACAACACCTGCCCCTTCACCTCCTCCCTGGTCACCATCCAAGGGCCTAACTAGTCTTTCCAGGTGAAGCAGCATTTCACCTGTACCTCCTCCAACCTTGTGTGTTGTATTCACTGTACCCAATGTGGCCTACTCTACATTGGAGAATCCAAACACAGACTGGGTGACCGCATTGCAGAATACCTCCGATCTGTGCGCAAGCATGACACCAACCTTCCCGTAGCTGGTCATTTTAATGCAGCATCCTGCTTGCCCGCCCACATGTCTGTCCTCGGCATGCTGCAGTGCTCCAGTGAATCACAGCACAAACTGGAGGAACAACATCTCATCTTCAGACTAGGCACTTTACAGCCTTCTGGGCTTAATATTGAGTTCAACACCTTCAAAATTGTGAACCAGCTCCCATTTCTTCCCTTTTAGCTTTACTTATTACATTCTTTGTTAGCATGCCCTCTCTCCCCTTTCCACTCCCCACCCCAGCAGGACTGTCTGTCCTTTCAAGTCTGGCAGTTAGACACATCATTGTTCTGCCATTCTCACGTTCCAATCACTGAATCTGAACTATCAACATCTTTTCTTCCCCCCAGCACTCTACACCCCCCAACTATAGCATAAATGCTGTCCCCTCCACATTTTACTTCCGCTCTGAAGAGTCATTTAGACTCAACGTTAGCTTGCTGTCTCTCCAAGGATGCTGTGATTTCCAGCATTCATTGTTTTCACTACAGATTCCAGCAACTGCAGTAATTTGCTCCTACATCCCTGGAATGTCCTGATAAATTTTCTTGAACAAGGATGTCACATTTGCCACATTCCAAATCCCCTCCCTGTATCTAAGAAAGATTGGATGACTAAGGTAAGCTCTTCTATTATCTACTTCACTTGGCAACCTGGAATACAAATTATCCAGACTGGGATATCCATATAATCGTAATCATGTATCCATCTAATTATAGCTCAGCCTCTCCAGTGCATCCTGCACAGTAATTTTCACACCATGCATTCTTTCAAACACTTAACCCTTACCAACATTTGTCATCAAAACTGACACAAAATACTCATTTTATATTGTTTCAGAGATAGTAGGAACTGCAGATGCTGGAGAATCTGCGATAACAAGGTGTAGAGCTGGATGATCACAGCAGGCCAAGCAGCATCAGAGGAGCAGGAAAGCTGACGTATATTGTAGCCCTGCCCTATGTCTCTAAAATATTTTCACCGTCTCTACCTTCAATAGGACCCAATGTTAGTATGCATTACTAATTCACTTACTCTTCTCCTGAACCCAATTAAAATTTTGAATCAATGCCCCTGTTTAGACAAAGAAAACAGAACAAAAAACAAATGTCAGTCACATCCTTGACATTTCCCAAATGTTTTTACACAGCACTGTGACTCCCTTTTAATTCTTAAAAGCTGTTGTGACCTCTCAGAAGGAATGGAGATTGCAGGGGAGGGCAGACCTATTGAACATAAAACATGTTTAGCTTTAAAAAAATACATTTGTGGTGCTTGTCTGGGGCACTGTGCAATATAGTTGTTTTATGTCTGATGTTTTGTGCCTCAGTGCTGCAATAGTAGGAGCTTGTACTCATTCCTGTACCACCGACCTCAAACAGGCTGAGTTACATAAACCAAAGATTCACTTTCATATTGTATCCGGTCTTGCCCTCATCTCTCATTTACCTGAAACTTTGATATTTCTATCTTGATCTCTGAATGTGATAATATGAAAGACAGAGACTAAGGAGAGAAAACTGGTGGACAGAGAGACAAAGACAGAGGGGCAGCGACAAAAACAGAGAGAGAGAAAGACAGAGGGGCAGCGACAAAAACCTTGAGACAAAGAGAGAGGGGCAGCGACAAAGAACACCGACAAAGACAGAGGGGCAGCAATAAAAACAGAGTCAAAGACAGGGACAGCAACAAAACCAGAGTGACAAAGACAGATAGAGACACAGGGGCAAAGACATAGGGACAGCGATAAAAACAGAGAGACAAAGACAGAGGAGCAGTGACAAAATCAGAGACAAGGACGGACAGTGACACAGACAAATACAGAGGGGCAGCAATAAAAACAGAGACAAAGACAGAGGGACGCAGAGACAGACAGACAAACAGAGACAAAGACAGGGGCAGTGACAAAAACAGAGACACAAAGACAGCGACAAATACAGAGAGACAAAGACATACAGAAACAAAGGCAGAGGAGTAGTGACAAAATCAGAGAGAAAGACAGACAGAGACACAGGGACAAAGACATAAGGACAGAGACAAAGACAGACAGAGACAAAAACAGGAGCAGCAATAAAAACAGAGACAAAGACAGAGGGACAGCAACAAAAACAGAGACCAAGACAAAGGAGCAGTGACAAAATCAGAGACAATGACATAAGGACAGAGACAACAACAGAGAGACATGGAGAGGGAGAGACAGAGACAAAGACAGTGGAGCAGCAATAAAAACAGCAACAAAGTCAGAGGGGCAGAGACAAAGGCAGAGGGACACAGAGACAAAGACTGAGGTAAAGACAAACAGAGACAAAGACAGGGGCAGCAATAAAAACAGAGACAAAGACAGTGGGACACAGACAGACAGGGGCAGCGACAAAGACAGAGGAGCAGTGACAAAATCAGAGACAAAGACAGACAGTGACAGACAAATACGGAGGGGCAGCAATAAAAACAGAGACAAAGACAGAGGGACGCAGAGACAGACAGACAAACAGGGACAGAGACAACAACAGAGAGACAAAGATAGAGGGACATAGAGACAGACAGAGCCTAACTCTTAGGGGCAGCGATAAAGACATAGACAGACAGAAGGAGACAGATGGAGGCAGAGACTCGAGAGTGGAGGGGAGTTTCAATGACAGCGCCGTGCGTGTGCCCGCGCGCCCGTGGCGCGTTCTCGCGGGTGCCGTGCGTGTGCCCGCGCAACTGTGCGGGTTCCCGTGTCTTTCAGGCTGCTCCATGGCGATGTCCCCGGGCCCGGGCGGCGCGGGGCCGCTTTTGGCGATTCTCCTCATCCTCGGAGCCGGTAAGAGAGCGAGTCGGGGGTGGGGATGGGGCGGGGGGAAAGGCCTATATACCCCACATAAACCGAATATACCCCACAAAAACCTGTATACCCCATATAGACTGAATATACCCCATATAGACTGAATATACCCCACGTAGACCTATATCCCCCACGTAGACCTATATCCCCCACGTAGACCTGTATACCCCACGTAGACCAAATATACCCCACGTAGACCTATATACCCCACGTAGACCTATATACCCCACGTAGACCGAATATACCCCACGTAGACCGTGTATACCCCACGTAGACCTGTATACCCCACGTAGACCGAATATACCCCACATAGACCTGTATACCCCACATAGACCTGTATACCCCACATAGACCAAATATACCCCACATAGACCAAATATACCCCACATAGACCAAATATACCTCCCCTACCCCCAAATACCCCAAATACACCTCACCTACCCCCAAATACCCCGAATATACCTCACCTACCCCCAACTATACCTCACCTACTCCCAAATACCCCGAGTATACCTCACTTACCCCCAAATACCCTGAATATACCTCACCTACTCCCAAATACCCCAAATATACCTCACCTACCCCCAAATACCCCAAATATACCTTCCCTACACCCAAATACTCCGAATATACCTCACCTACCCCCAAATATACCTCACCTACCCCTAAAAACATCTCACCTACCCCCAAATACACCTCATTTACCCCCAAATATACGTCACCTACCCCAAAAATATTCCACATGACCCCAATTACCGCACATACCCTAAAAATTCCCCCGAAATACTCCAAAACCTAAATTCCCAAAAATACCCCAGATACCTGAAAGTGCCCCCACTGAGTGCCAAAAACCCTGAAAATAAACTAAACTTACACCAATAACAGTGAAAATGTCCTAAATCCCCAGGAAAACCCCTGAATATCCCAAAAAAAAACCAATAACCCCTGAAAATACCCCACTAATCCCTTCCTGTTTGTTTATACCCCGATAACCCCATAATGTGGCAGGATCTCCTATAAATACCCCAATTACCCGGCGCAATGCTGCAATAAACCCTGGGAATATGTCCCCAAACCCCCTCCGCTACCCCAAAATTCCTCAAAATCCAATAAACCCCCCCCCCCAAGTAATATTCTAATAACCCCCTGAGACACTTAAATAAACTCTGGTCAACATCCTAATGGCCACCCAGTCCCATCGTTGCTAATATCATTTATCCTGTGAAAAAAATTCTTTAAACCCCTTATAATAACCCAATAACTCCTGAAAATACCCCACTAACCCCTTGCTAATCCCCCAGTTAACCCCAAAAATCCCTGAAAATTCCCCAGTATCTACCAAAAATACTCCACATATTCCCCCCAACAAACAGCTAGTAATGCCCACGCAAATGCTCTGATAATCACCTCATAATTCCCAAATAACTGCCCCACAGTAACCCAGTAAACCCCCCCCAAAAAATACCCTAATAACCTCCACCAAAAATATGCCAGTAACCTCTGAAAAATATTGCAGTAATGTCCAAAATATTCCAAAAGTACCCCATTAACCAGCCCTCGATAAACACCCCAACCTGAATTGTTGTCCAATAATTTCCCAAAAAACTCTAAATCTCCAAACCTTCCCAGTCCCACGATAACCTTCCACCAAACTGCTGCCAAAACATCCCCTGATCTCAAAAACACACGTCCCAAAAACAATAAACCCTCCAACCTTAAAATGCAAAATCCAACTCTCCCAGTGCCATGTGCTAGCTTATACAAAAATAGGAGAATATGTGGCTCAAGACTTGGTGCAGGATGGAGGGTTTTAGATTCCTGGATCATTGGGACTGGGATTTTGTTGCCATCATGGAGACATAGTTGAAGGAGGAGGCAGGACTGGTAATTCAATATTCTGGGGTATAGGATCTTCAGGCAAAACAGAGGAGGGTGTCAAAGGTTAGTACTTAGGGAGTTAGTTACTGTAGAAAGGAAGGATATCTTGGAAGGGTCATCAAATGTGGTATTGTTGGTGGAATTTGGAAATAAAAAGGGAGCAGTTACACTCTTAGGAATGTATTATAGATCCCCAAACAGTCAGTAGACAATAGGGGAACAGATATGTGGGCAATTCACTAAGGAGTGTAAAAATAATAATTGGGTAATTATATTGGGGGATTTCAACTTCCTCAACTTTAATTGGCCATGATCTGGAGGTGCTGGTGTTGGACTGGGGTGGAGAAGGTCTGAAATTACACAACACCAGGTTATAGTCCAACAGGTTTATTTGAAATCACAAGCTATCAGAGTGCTACTCGTTCATTGGTGAAGTGTTCACCTGATGAAGGAACAGCACTCCAAAAGCTTGTGATTTCCAATAAACCTGTTGGACTATAACCTGGTGTCATGTGACTTCTAACATTAATTGGAATAGTCATAGAGTAAAGGGTTTAGAGAGGGCAGATTTCTTGAAGTGTATTCAGGTGAGGTTTTGATGTCAGTATGTAAATAGTGCTACAAGGACGGTGCAGCGCTGGACCAAATTCTGGGCATGAAGCCAGACAGGTGCTCAAGGTGACAGTGGGAGAGCATTTTATTGATAGTGACTGCAACACCGTACAATTTAAGTTTGTTATGAAAAGGAGAAAGATGCTCTGCAAAAAAATGGGTTTTGGATTGGGCTAAAGCAGATTTTATCAAAATAAGGCAGGATCTGGCTAAAGTAGACTGGGAACAGCTACTTGTGGGTAAATCTACAGCAGAACAGTGGGAGGTTTTCAAAAAGGTGTTGGGAGGAGTGCAGGGCCAACATGTTCCCTTTAGGGTGAAATGTGGGAGCAGCAAGACTGGGGATATCTAGGAATATTAAGGACTAGATGAAAAGGAGAAGAGAGACATTTAATAGGTACAAAGGGAACAAAGCAACGGAGGCCCTACAGGAGTATAGAAAGTGCAGGGACGGACTCAAGAAAGCAATTGGTGGGGCATGTTAAAAGGCTGGTGGGTAAGATTAGGGAGAATCCCAAGATATTCTACAAGTACATCATGGGGAAGAGTAGGGCTATTAGGGACAGTGGGGGCAATCTGTGTGTGAAGCCTGAGGAGATTGGTAGAGTGTTAAGTGAGTACTTCATATCTGTCTTTACTCAGGAGAAGGAGAATGCAGGTACAGAATTTGAGAAGATGGACTGTGAAGTTTTTGATAAAAGAAGTGAGAAGGTATTGGAGGCTTTCAAAGTGGACAAATCCCCAAGTCCAAAAACAAAGTTGCTGGAAAAGCTCAGTAGTCTGGCAGCATCTGTGAAGCAAAAAACAGAGTTAACGTTTTGGGACCGGTGACCCTACCTCAGAACGACTTGTATCCCAAACTGCTATGAGAGATGAGGAAGGAAGTTACAGGGGCCCTGACTTAAATTTTTAAATCGTCTCTGACTACACGAGAGGTGCCAGAGAACTGGAGGACAGCTATGTTTCCACTTACAAGGTGGTAGAGATAGACCAGGGAATGATAGAGCAATGAGTCTGACCTTAATGGTAGGGAAACTGTTGGGGAAAATCAATCTCCATTTAGAGAGGCAAGGTTTGACCAGGGATAGTCAGAGCGGACATGCCTAACAAACCTGGTGGAATTTTTCAAGGAGCTGACCAAGTGTTTGGGGATGAGAGTCATGTCCATTTGGTGGATTTTAGCAAGGCTTTTGAAAATATCCCACATGGGAGACTAATAAAGAAGGTTAAAGCTCATGGGATCCAGGGTAACTTGGCAAGTTGGATCCAAAATTAACGTAGCGACAGAAGACAGAGGGTAGTGGTAAAAGGCTGTTTGTGTGACTGGAGGCCAGTGTCCAGTGGTGTAGCACAGGGATCAGAGCTGGGGTCTCTATTGTTTGTGATTTTCATAAAGGGTGTAGATGAGAATGTGGGACGGCTGATAACTAAGTTTGCAGATGACACAAAGATTACCCAGGTTGTTGACAGTGAGGATAGAGGTATTAGGTTTCAGGAGGATATAAACAGATTAGTGAGATGCAAAGATCAGTGGCAGATGGAATTTAACCCTAACAAAGGTGAGGTGAAGAAGGAACAAGACAAAGGAGTACTAGATGAATGGCAGGATGGGAAAATATGGTAGTTAAGGAGGCATATGGGACACTTGCCTTTATCAGTTGAGGCATAGATTATAACAGCAGGGAGGTTGTGTTGGAGCTATATAGAACTGTTAGGTCACAGCTGGAGTACTGTGAGCAGTTCTAGTCACCACACCATAAGGAGGATGTGATACACAGGACGGGGTGCAGAGGATATTCACCAGGATGTTGCCTGGGATGGAGCATTTCAGCGATGAGGTGAGGCTGGATAAGCACGGGTTGTTTTCTTTGGAGCGGAGAAGGTTGAGGGGGGGACATGATAGCGATGTATAAGATTATGAGGGGCATGGACAGGGTCATTAGAAAACAACTTTTCCACCTTAGCTAAAGAGTCACTAACAAGGAGACATAAATTTAAGGTGAAAGGCAGAGGGTTTAGAGGAGATTTGAGGAAAAACCTTTTCAACCAAAGGGTGGAGGGAGTCTGGAATGCACTGCCTAGGAGGGTGGTTAAGGTGGGAAACCTCACAACTGTTAGAAAAAATACATGGATAGTACTTGAAATGCCGTAACATTCAAGGCAATGGGCCTAGTATGAAAAAGCGGGACTAGTGTAAGATTAGTGTATTTTTGGCAGTACAGACTCAATAGACTGAGGGAACTCTTCTGTATTTTTATGATTGTATGGTTCTAACCCCACAAAACCCAACACCATTGTTAACTATTCAACACCATATCCATCCAGAACCATAAACCCTGCTCTGCCAACTCAATCTCACTTCCTGATCCTTAAACCCGAGCGGCAAATTCAACCACCCAAATGACCCCCGACCTAAAATCACACACCCAAAGTGACCTCTTCGCCCAAAATCTAACCCAGTGGCAGATGGAGAATAATGTAGGGAGTAT